GAAGACACCCCCGAGGGCACCCTGTTCCCCGGCCCCTGCAGAGCAGATCCACAGCAGTGCTCTCCTCTCTTGCTTTCTCTTGTTAGAACAACCTTTATCAATTGCGAGTCATTCTACAGACTGGGGAGGATTTATGCACACCATCTCGTTTTGAACACACGGTGATCATGGGTGAAGGGGGAGCATCATTATCCTCATGCTACAGGATCCTCGCAGGTAAGTCACAGATTGTTAGAATCAAGTGGCCCTTGGACGCTGTCCAGTCCAAAGCCCTCTTTTTACAGTTGTGGACACTGAAGCTCAAAGAGTTAGAGCAACTTGGCCAACATGAACCCCTGTCTCATTACTTCATTGCTCCTTCAAACACCTGGCATTCCCTCATCTTAGCAAAACTGCTGCAAGTGGCACAGAAAAGCTATGAGAAGATGTGAAAGTAAGCCTTCCCTCCTTATCAGCTATGTGGTCTCAGGCAAATGTATTCGTTTCTTATGGCTGCTGTAACAAATTACCACATACCTAATGGCTTAAAGCAACACAAACTTATTATCTACACTTCCTGAGGTTGGAGTCCAAATGTGTCTCAGTGGGCTACAATCAAGGGTGTTGGCAGGGCTGCTTTCTTTCTAGAGACCCTAGAAGTGTATGGGGAACATATGTTTCCAGTCTACAGGCTGCCTGCATTCCTTGGCTTGTGGCCCCTTCCTTCCATCTTCAAAGCCAGCAATGGCGAGTCATGTCTTTCTCACACTGCCATCTCTGGCTGCCTCTCTCCTGCCTCCCTCTTCCACATTTAAGGGACTCTTGTGATTTCATTGGGCCCACCCAGGTAATGTGGGGTAACTTCCTTATTGAAGTCAGTTAATTAGCAACCTTAATTCCATTTGCAACCTTACTCCCCTCTTGCCACATAACAGAAACCATCCATAGGCTCCAAGGACTAGGACAGGGACCTCTTTCTGGGGCCATAATTCTGCTGACCATGGAAGATCACCTGCTCGCAGGGGTTATATTGCCGGCCCTGCTTTCCTCAGAGTTCTTATGGGGTCCAATGAAATAGGTCTGGATAAGACCAGCTTTGAAACATGTAACATGTAATAGAAATATAAAGGGTGCTTTATAAGGGCCAGTCAATAACAGCCAGTAACCTGAAACGAATGAGCTACTCACCAAAATCCAGGCTGTGGCCTCGTGGTCAGAAGGACCCCCTTGCACCTGGACAGCGATATTGACATGGTCCCCAGGCAGGTCCTCGAGCGCCTGGGTGCCCTCAGGAGACTGTGTGACCTGAAGAGGACAGGAAAGCCAGGAATGGTTCAGAGAAAGCATTTCTGGAAACTACCTCCCACAGACATCCTCACTGTCTTCATCTTCCCACTGATGGGAAGGCCAAAACCCTGACAGCTCCTGTTCCTGTTAAAATGTTCGTCAGTCACTTAAAAAACCCAAATGCATATACAGACAGCACACTCTGGTGGACGGCAAAGATGTGGACACCAGCTCCATATTGCAGAGGCAGGTCAGAGGTCCACGGCCCTTCTCAGGGCTGTTGAAACAAGGCACAACCTATGCTGGGATCTGTGCTAGTTGCTCAAAAATTGATCTGCAGGAAGAACTAGTTTTGGAACAGGATGGAGCTATCTGCCACCAGCCAAGTTTTTCTAAAACCCAATCCAGTGACGTAGTCTCCTACTTCATTCCAGCTGATCTAGGCTAGGTAAACAGCAGAACTTTCTCGACAGCTGAGTGACCAAGAGAGCAAATGCCACAGGAAGGATGGCAACGGCTCTTCTCTGGAGAGAGCTTTAGGATGAATGTTTTGAGGCATAAACCTGGAGGCAGAGGAATGGTATAGAAGATATCCCTTTAAAGTCCTCTGATCCAGATATGCACACAAACACACTTAAAAGGATAAAAAGCCTTTAACTGCCCCCCAAACACACACACACATGCATGCATGCATGCACACACACACACACACACGCACACACGCACACGCGCGCGCACACGAGTCCTTATATATAAATACCTTCCTCCACGTGATGACTGGGGGAGGCACTGCCCTCACCTCACAGGACAGGTACACCTGGGCCCCAGTGATGTTGTGAACACTTCGGGGTGGGATGACGACCACAGGAGCTGGAAGAAGACAAGGGAACACAACCTTTACCTTGCCAGGACCCAGGACCCCGCTTCCAGAATCCCGACTGTGGCGAGCCTGCAGGGCCCGTGTAACGTGGGGAGGGCAGTGGCAGACCAAAGCTCTCCACACACACAGAACAAACTCACAGGCAAGGCATGTGGAGGAGAGTCTGCCTTAGGCCCGGAGGGAGCCTGCGTGCTTCGTCACCCATTGTCTTTGCCCCACCAGCAGGAAAACGGATTCAGAGAGAAAAGGCAGCTTCCTAAAGCTACCAGCCTGTCTGTGGCAGAGCTCGGTCTCACACTCCCTCCCAGGCCCCGGGTGCCATCTGCTTTTGGCTCAACTGCACGACAGGGCGTTGGGCTCCGGGAGGGGCTGGTGTCACTTCACCAACAGCCGAGTCTACTAACAGATGGGCTTTTCTCTTTCCACATGGAGGGCCCTCAAAGAATAATGCCACCTAAGACAGCTGCATCCACCCTGGAGCTGAGACCCCCTGCGGGACATTCAAGACGCTCATTTGCATATCACAGACTCACAGACTCCACTTGGCCTCCCCCACCCCGCACACCTCCCCATCCCCAATGGCAGAACTGCTGGCCTGGAAGCCCTGTAGAGGCTGGGAGTCGGGCAGTGTGGATCTAGGCTGATGGAACATTACAGAAAGGAGAGGGAGGGCGTGGGTTCACTGGAGGGCACCGGAGAGTATGTGGGTATCCGAGTTAGAAATTCTTAACTCATACTCCATACTCTGCCCTCCTCTCTGTCCCTGGCATCTGCTCTACTCACACTGGGACTAAAAGAATCAAGTCCATGGGCCTTGGCCTTCAGGCTCTCCATCGGCCCCTCAATGTTCCTGCCTCTGCATGGCATACACCCCCTCGCTCCAGAGGCGGACGGCTCCCATCATGCAGGGCTGAGAGGGCATGTGTTCTAGTCCAGGACCAGAGGCTCTGCACCGCGTTGACCTGCTGAATCATAGCCTGCCTCGCAGTCCAGGTGCTCCACCTGTCTCACCTGCACAAGAAGGCAAGCGTGGCCCACCCTCGCGTCTGGCCCCACGGTGTCCTGGGCAAGGTGAAGTGTGGGTCCCTGGCGGGAAAATGCTCTCTGCTGGGTTTTGCTGATCACAGGGTTGTTGAGCTGATCTTACTATGTGATGAGTGTGAAAGTGATGGTTTCAGTTAACACAATGTGCAAGCGGGGGTCAGACGCAGGTCTGGTAAACAGATGACTGGATGAAGAAACACGTGACAAATAAAAGAGCAAACACATTCTCCAACTGCAGAGTGTACAGACTCCTGGGGCTTTCCTGATGACTCAAGGACAGCACAAACACATTCATTCTCCAACTGCAGAGTGCACAGACTCCTGGGGCTTTCCTGATGACTCAAGGACAGCCTGGCAAGCCAGCCTTAGAGAGGAAAAGAAGAACAAAGGGAGGGAGACAAAAGGCTGGGAGAAAAGGGGAGAGGGGAGGTATAAATATTTCTCTCTTTTCCATGTCCAGCGCGGCAGAGAGCGGTCCAGTTCCTGAGTAGGGGCGATGGGAGATTGAGAAAATGAAAGAGACAGACACAAATACAGTAGGGAAAGCTGGGACTGGGTGGGACCACTGTCCTTTGATGGAGAGACAGGCACCCAGAGCCAAAACAGCACGTTTATTTTATACAGCAAAACCCAGGAAGTTTTACTAAAGGTCAAGACAAAGGAGATTATGTGCATTCTTGGGTGGGCCTGAGTCGTATTCATTCCTGGTGCTTGGCTGGATTTAGATAACGAAACCCATCCCCTGGTGCCTGGGCTGAAGGTCAGGCTGACAACACTCCTGCCTCTGGCAAGGCCTGTTTCCAGGACGTGGCTCTGCCAACGCCACTGGATTCAGCTGACAATAATTAAATAAATGCCCATGTGCCTTCCTAGGCGCTCTCTACAGGGAGGAGTGAAAGGATGCCGAAATGAGACTGGTCTGGCTCCTTCAGACAGACTATGATGCACACCCGTCAAGCTGGTGCCCAAAAAACTCTTAGAGCCACAGAATATCAAAACTAGAGGTCCTAACATCAAGCTGGTGCCCAAAAAACTCTGGGGAACTATCTTAGAGCCACAGAATATCAAAACTAGAGGTCCTAACTCTCCCCAAGATCCTGTGCCTGACCATCTGTGATGTGCTCATTTAACCTCCAATTGCATGCCTCTAGTGACAGAGAACTCACTACCTACAGAGCCAGGCCCTTCTATCCTTGAAGGGCTCTGTTGGTAAGAAAGCTTGTCCTCATTGGAACTAAAAACCCACTTCCCTATAACTCCCGCCTGTTTATCCCAGGCTGCCCTCTGAACCCTACAGCCCTCTGGCTGCCCCAAGGGCCTCTAGTGAATTGAATACAGACACTGCCCTTCTTCCCCCTCAGTCTGTCTGATCAGCTCACGCCTTCAGTTGTGGCCATCTCACTGCCCTCTACCCACGTCCCTGAGTGTGGTCAACGTCCCTTCGATGAACCAAGGTCCTAGGCTTCTAACACTGCCCAATGCGCCCAGCCACCTGCCTGGCTGCCACAAAGAACCACAACGCCCCTGCTCTATGGCAGGAGCCCCATCTGCACAGATGACAAAGAGAGTCTGATGTATTCACATCCTCCTGCCAGCATCGCCTCCCCCCGGAGCCCAAACCAGTCCTGGAACGGCTCGCTGTGGGAACAACCAGAATCACGTCTTACTCCAAAGCCCTCAATGGATTCCAAAGGGACACTCAATCAACATGCTTTACTTTTGTTCATGTAAAGTCATAAATTTTAAATGAGATTTCATCAATCCCTTTCAGGTCTAAATGAATAAACCAGTAAATCACATTTCCTATTTTTCTCCTTGCATTTCCCCTCTCCCTCTCTTTCAATAACTGCAATTAGGAAAGGCTGTCTTTGCCACTGATTCCACATGGCAGAAAATACCATTTCTTTTACAAAAGAGCTTTTGATGATAAAGTGACATTCAAAATTTTATTTTTAAATTTACACACAGCACACGCTTTCTTTCTGGCGTACAGGTCTAAGTTCTGATAGCTGCATACAGTTGTGTAACCGCTGCCATAACCAAGTCAGAGGACAGTCCGGTTATCTAGAAAATTGTCCTTGTGTCTCTTTGTCATAGTAATCTGTTTTTAATGTTAACCTGTCTGATTTTACATTGAAAACATTTTTATCCATAACAGCTCTTTACAATCAGTCATCATCATCATCATCATCATCATCATCATCGTAACAATGGCAACAATGCCACCAGCTAACACTGAGCTTGCTGTGTGCTAGGCACTCTTCTGCTGATTAGGGGTATTAACCCATTTGACCTTTCCAGCTCTCAGCAGCTGCCAGCCAGGGGAGCTAGGCAGGGTCACCCAGCCGTAAAAGGCGGGGCGAGGCTATGAGCCTGGGGGTCTGGCTCCAAGCTCTGCCCTCTCCTTAGATGACACGTCCAGGTACACTACTCTTTTCACCCTCACACCAGCCCTGCATTTATCCCTATTTTACAAATGAGAAAACCAAGGCTCAGGTGAAGGGTCTGGAAGAACAGGGACTGAATCTATTAACCCAACACTGATTTTTATTTTTTTAAAATATATATCCTTTATTGATTTCAGAGCGGAAGGGAGAGGGAGAAAGAGAGAGAGAAACATCAATGATGAGAGAGAATCACTGATGGGCTGCCTCCTGCACGCTCCCTACTAGGGATGAGGCCCACAACCGTGACCTCCTGGTTCATAGGTCGACGCTCAACCAGTGAGACACACTGCTGGGCTCCACACTGATTTTTAAAGTGAAACATTCGTTATTTTGTTTGGACGCCATTCCAGTACAAGAAAATTCCTTAGGGATTATGTTGGGGGTCCCCAAGACAACCCCTCAGCTCGATGATTTCCTAGGAAGACCACACAACTCAGCATGGTTTTACTTACAGCTGTGATTACAGCGAAAGGAGACAAAGCAAGTCAGCAAAGGGAAATGGCACTTGGGGCAAAGACTGGGAAAACCAGTGCAAACTTCCAAGAGCCCCTCCCAGTGGAGTCACAGGACATGCTTAATTCCCCAGCAGCAAATTGTGACAACATGCAAAATGCCATCTACCAGGGAAGCTCACTCGACACTCAGTGCCTTAGTGGGGGCCGGCCACCTGGGCTCCCTCTGCCTACTACACACTGAAGTTCCAGGCTCCCAGGAGGAGAGCAGGGGAGCAGCTCTCCTTCAGTTTAAGCACAGTGAGCACTGCTCTCAGCTCGGCATCCTCCTGAAATCCAAGTTCCCAGACACCAGCCAGGGACTTCCCTGCCAGCAGGCCTGTCCAAGGATACACTGCTATGCTGACTCTTTTCTGCCCAGGAATAAAACCCTCTGGGCATCGCCCCAGGGGAGCAGCTCTTGTGAAGATACCATTGAATGGGTGATGTGTCCTTAACACTAGCAGGTCATCCCCAGTACTTCTGTCCCCAAGGGCTCATTCAAGTGTGGCACTGGGATACTCAACCACACGACTACCACTGGCAGGAGGTTACCAAGTTCAAATCCTGTCTCGGCCACACCCCCGTATTATGACTTGGCCTCAGTTTCTTCTTCTTTAAAATGGGCACCGGGGTCCATTCTCCCTCCCATCCCTATATGCTGTTGTGAGGAACAATTACAAGACTCCTTGCAAACTGTGAAGGCTTCCATGGAGGGACCCGAGGACGAGGCAGGTGGTGCTTCCCCCAGGATGGTCTCCTCAAAGATGCCTCTAATGCAGTGATGGCGAACCTTTTGAGCTCGGCGTGTCAGCATTTTGAAAAACCCTAACTTAACTCTGGTGCCGTGTCACATATAGAAATTTTTTGATATTTGCAACCATAGTAAAACAAAGATTTATATTTTTGATATTTATTTTATGTATTTAAATGCCATTTAACAAAGAAAAATCAACCAAAAAAATGAGTTTGCGTGTCACCTCTGACACGCGTGTCATAGGTTCGCCATCACTGCTATTATGGGCTCTGGTGAGCAGACCTATCGGAGAGTCCTCTCTGGAGGCCCCAGAGGCCACGGCCCTTCCTCGGGCGAGCCCGGGGCAAAGCCTCACCGCTGCCAGAGCTGCCACACTCCTGGAAGAGCCAGGCTTTCCCGTCTACCTGCCTTTGACAGGAGTCAGATGGCTTTCAAGAGGGAGGATGGTGCCTGGTCGGTCCAGTCTGAACGTGCTGGCTTTGTCTTTCTAGCCCTTCCTTGCTCAATACTTGTTTCCTTCTGTTCGTGCCGGCAACAGCCCTGGAAATGCTGGGACAGCACAAATCTACCCACCAGGTAACAGAAAATAGTCACCCAGGTGTGCCCCAACAAAGGCAGCAGTGGGTGGGCAAAATGGTACCGAGGGAATCTCAAATGCCCAGCACAGGAGCTCCGGCGAGTTGCGAACCGTTTCCTCCTTATGTGCACATGAAGACGAAGACTTTGGCCCTCGTCCTCCAGGGTGAAGGGAGAGAATGAATGTGACTGTGTCACTAACTGTGGGATCTGTGCAAATGAAAGGGACCGATATTATTACAGCGTGTGGTGGTCCGTCCCCCCACCCCATCAGCTGTGTCCTTGACGGCCGGAATGAAAGATCTTCCCAATGCCTCTGAGATCTCTTTCAAGTTAATGGTGCTAGGGAAAGAAAGAATATCAAAAGTCATCCCCCAGGACCCCATCTGCCTGCAGGAAAAAGCGCCCCACCAAGAGTTTAATGATCAGCCTGCAGAACAGCCCTTGTAATTTATGCTAATAGTCACCTTACCACGTAGAATGAGAAACAGCTTAATCCCGCTCCCCTCAGCCTGCGCCCCAAGCCCCTCCCTGCGCTTGAAAGGCTTTTGAGCACGAGGCCCCCTTCTTTGTCGCTCTCACAAAGTGGCATTCGCTGCCTCTCCTGGTTACCTGGTAACACATGCCTCGAAAAGACATATGTCTAAGTGGAGCTGGACTTCCAACCGAGGTAGATTTTCCAAGACTCGGGATCTTAAGAGCTTATTGAAGCTTCAGAGGCTTAGTGTCCTGGTGGGCGCTGGCACAGGACCCTGCTCCTATCTAATTTAGCTTTCGAAACAGGACGCCAACCTACGGTCTGCAGGACGCCACCCCCTCCCAATGTTAGCAATTAATCAGAGCGCATACCTGGAAGGAACAACACAGCCTTTTAACGTAACAACAGCAATAACCACAGAATGCCACGCCTCCTTACAGCTGAGAAACAGAACCAATCATTCTGTATAGAACAAAGCTTCACCCCTCAGCCTGGCATTCAGACTGGCAATGACCCTGCCCTAAGCTCTGGGTAGGCAAAACGGTACCAATGGTCCCTTGGTACCGTTTTGCCCACCCAGCACCTCCGCCTCCCTCACCCCTCAACCTGGGAATTTTCTACTCATCCTTCAAGGCTCCTCTCATATGCTTTCTCTTCTGTGACGCTACTCCTGTTCCTCTCAGGAGCCGTCACCCAGTACTAAACAGAGGAACCGGCAACAAGCCTTGGGGGGGTGCGGGGGACAGGAGGGTAGATCCAGACTGAGAAACCCTCAAGACTCAAGAGTAGCCAGTCTGCGCCTCAGCTTTCCCTTCTATTAAATGGGAGAGAGTCCTGGCCAGGACAGCTGTAAAAACCGAGTAAGAAGATGAGATGCAAATATACTTACTGAATATATTCCGACAGTAAATAGTTATTCAGAGGTGGGAGCACAGTGGGTCTTCAATAAATGTGTGTTAATCAGAGGATGACCCTCATTATTAGGCATTTGGGGGCATTTCAGAGCACAGGAGGAAAGGGAAGCATTTCAGCCTGAAAACTGTTTCCAAATGCTCCTGAGAGGCATGTGTAAGAACACCTCCCCCGCTGTGCAGAACTTAATACATATTTACAGAGGCTTCGCTCTGTTAAAGTGGGAAGCTCGCATAGTGAGGGGTAGGTGAGGAGCTGGGGAGGGGTGGTGGCTTTATTGCCAGTTTTGAGGCAGAACAGCTGCTGCTGTGACTGCGCCTGCTTCCCTTCAACCAGGGTCCCCCGGGGCATTGTTAAAAGTGCTCCTGCTGCGTCCTCTGAATAGAGGGTGGCTTCAGGCAGCACAGAGTGAGGTGCCGCCCTGCCTTGGTCTAGCTGGGAAAGAGCCCGTCCACACCTTCAGGCCCCACCAGGACACAGGGGCAGGGGCCACACATACATCTCAGGACAAGAAGCGACGGCGGGAAGACAGTGCCGGCTCTGTAGCAGCTGACAATTACTGGTGGGAAAGGAGAAGTAAATTCCGGGGAGGCCTGATGCCTGTCACTAATGGGATCATTAAAAGCAGCTTCTGTATTGCCTCCATTTGGCTCCACGAACATCTTTTCACCCGGGGCTGGTGCCTGAGGTGCGCCTCAGGGCCCATAGATCAGAGTGGAGGGGCTGTCACATTTACTTGTCATTTGGTAATTTTCAATGAATTAGGTGTATGGGGTTTCCATCTGCCATCTGGCCGCCCGCTGGTAACCATGGCAACCACCACCTGCCTAACGTCACACAATCAAGTCCTGTCCTGAAAGAGCACAGAACAGGGTGTAGGGGACCTGGGAGCCGGTCAGGCTTTACTGGTCCCCCTGGCCGGTCCCCCCTGCTCCCCACCCCCTGTCGCTGGCTCCTCCCCATAATAGTAGATTTGGTCTAAACATCTTAAATATTTTTCAAGGCATCTCTCTCTCTTGGGAACAGAATACCACTCCAGGGAAAAATCATCTGAGACCTTCCACACCAGTAGATTCCGGGGACCTGGTCAGCATTTATGTCTCCTGCATGTGGAGTGAAAGTGTTACCTGTCTGGAGACAAAGAGAACTGCCTGTGAATTAACTGCTGAGGAAGCAGATTGTAAAAAACGAGTGACAGGAACTAGAAAAAGGAAGGAGACAGGACTGTTTAAAGGCCACAGGGCAGAAACAAAGGGACCTCAACAGTGGCTCCACAGGGGCTGACACGGCCCACAGAGGAGAAGAGACCAGCCCAAGGTCATTCAGGGAACCAGCAGTACAGGAAGTGCCGGCCAGCTCTCTCCTGGTGGGAGCCCCAACTAGGAAGAGCCATCGGTGACTTTCCTGTGCTCCAAGGAGGCGCATGAAACATTGTTTTCATGTTCCTGGGACAGGAGCCTTCCCGCCCCATCTCCAACACTGGTCTCCTGGACATGCATCTACTTGGAATGCTTTTGGGAAAATAATAATAGAAACTTCCCAATGCCTGTTGAGGCACTCCCCCACCCCCAAAGCTCCCTTGTTGGAGCTGAAGTCACTACACTGACCTAGGCATTTAGCCAGAACCCCAAGCTGGACTCCTGGGGACTCACCCTAGACTCTCCACCGGCCCCTCCAGGCAGCGTAGAAAGGGGCAGTTCTCCAAAATCTAGTGGGCTGGCAGAGTGCATCTCTGGGTATTCCTTTACTAATGTTTTGATTTATTTTTGTTTGATTTTTAAAAATCACAGAGGGTGAGCGGCAAGCGCACCCATAAACAACTGTATTGTAATGTTAATGAACTTTAAGTTTCTAGGTTCCAAGCAATGATTAATTTTCAATTCCTTTAAAGTGGGACCTTCCAAATTGTATTAAGCCTTAGCTCCACAGAACCTGGGTCTGCCCCTGCCGGCACTATAATCTTTTCAGAGCCTAGGTCTCCAAAGGTCTTACTTCCCCGGAGTAGCTCCCGAGTCCTGGTCTGGAGGTCCTCTCCTCCTCCTCTGGCATCTTCACGTCCCCTCCCTCTCCATCCAAACAGTGAGGACCTGCCACTCCCAAACTCCCAGTCTTGTGGAGGAAAACATACTATGAGCTTAGTAAGGGAGGGCGCAGGATGTGAGTTCCTGCCCGTCTCCCTGAGCACCCTGCCGGGCAGGAAAACTGATCCTGAAGGGAAAACTGAGGCTTCGACAGCGCTGTCCATCGTGGTGCGGGGCGGAGGGAGGGACATACTGCGGGGCGGAAGCCGGACTCACCAAATTCGCAGGGGCCATCGCGCACCTTGTGCAGGTGGCCAAGGTGCCTTCCAGGAGCGTGCCGAGCGCGCAGGCGCAGTGCGCAAACGCT